TAATAATAATATTATTAGCTATATTAAATAAGTAATTAAAAAGTCTAATTAATATTCTTTTATTATAATTTTATATTCTCTTTACTACTATTATATTCTAATATTATTATATTTTAATTTATTTTTATATATTATATATATTCTATTTTATATATTAGCTTTTTAAAATTATAATATATAATATTTCTTATATATAACTATATTATTATAATAGTATATTATAATATTATTAAATATAATATTCTCTTTAAATAATATTAATTAACTTACTTTAATATAATATAATATCATCTCGTGTATAGTATATAATATTAATAATAAAATTAAAAGAATTAAAATAATTAAATTAAAAATAAAATATAAATACTTAAATAAATAATTAAACTTTTATTAAAAATAATTAAAAAGCTTTAATACTTAATAGATAGCTTTATTAATTATAAGAGGAAGTTAAATTTTCAAACTTTTAATTTACTTAGTAATGGTTATTTAATATCTTTAATACTTATAATTAATATACTACTTAAAATATAAGAATTTTTACTAATATTTTAATAATTTCTATAAATATATATATATATATATTTGCCTTCTCGACTCTATTTATTGCTTTTCTCTCACTAGATATACTATATTGGTAAGAACTATAATCCTTGAATAAGTTAGTAATTGGGTGCACGATGTATATATAGAGACAAAATAGTGGATTTTGTGGTTATCTAAAAACTACACGAAGGTTGGAAATATAAGACAAGAAAGCTACTATAGAACTTGTCTGTAAATGTAGGACTGCGATGTATATTGCATGGTGATAAGCTCTGGAGGCTATTAGAACACGTTGAATCAAGAGACGAAAATAATCAACATTTCACACTCATTATATATGTATACGCTATGCCATGCTATACTGTGCTATGCCGAGCCATCGATTATCCAAAAACGCCCAGCTTTTATTTTATTTTTTATTCGTTTTTCCCTTTCTTCTAAATAACCTGTCCCTTGACCTGTTTTATCTGCTTTACATCGACGTTTCTCCAAATAGCGGCGGCAGCAAATCCGATCGCCCATATAGTAGTACCGGGCTGTGAGCATACTGGTTTGCGCACTTCCATAAGCGCGTTGGATGGCGATTCTACCCGGGGAGCCGATAGGGTAG